ACAAAAAACCTTACAGTTTTTCTTAACCTTATAGAAATAAAAAATGTAGAATACCTATTTTAGTGTTGTTCACACTTTATTATGTTGTACTGCATGAATTTCAACAATAGCACTTCAACTTAAAAAAGAAATTCAGGAGCACCCCACTGATCTATTTTCCATAAGTGCAACAGATAGTCAGTGTATTTGAGGCCAGTGATAAAGAGGGGACTGAGGAGGGATTAGCTGACTCTCAGTAAAGAATGATCCAAGATAACTAAGCCCAAAATTGGTGCAATAAGAATGCCACCTCTTTCCAGGTTCTAGGAAGCACTGTTATCACTATAGTCTAACAGCTGTAGTTTAAATATCTTTAAACTCAGAGGGACTCAAATATACATGCTGATTAATTGATTGATTAATTGATTAATTTCAAATATACATTTATTTCTATTAATTGGTAAGATTTAAAGAAGAGTCAGGTTTTTGTTGAATTTCTGTTATATATATGATAAATCAATAAAATAAAAAATATATATTTATACATAAAATAGAAATTCTCCAAAGCATGCATATATATATATATATATATATATATTTTTTTTTTTTTTTTTTTTTTTTTTTAAAGACAAAGTCTCCCTCTGTCTCTCAGACTGGAGTGCAATGTTCAAGCAATTCTCATGCCACAGCCCCCAGAGCAACTGGGATTATAGGTGCGCGCCACCACACCCAGCTAATTTTTGTATTTTTAGTAGAGATGGTGTCTTGCCATGTCTGAACTCCTGACCTCAAATGATCTGCCCACCTTGGCCTCCCAAAGTGCTGGGATTAAAGGCATGAGCCACCTCTCCCGACCCTGAATTACTATCATATTTGATTGTAAGAGTCTTTATTGCTGGTGCTCTACTAGAAATAAAAACACAAATGAAGAAAATGAAATGCCTCTTTCTCAATAACCACTTAATATACAGTTATTTGACTCAAGACTAGATTTGTATTTTCTTGGCCTAATTATTCAAGTAAAAAGGATGAAATATATTCAGTAAGAGAAGGATAAAACATAAGGTATAATTTTAATATAAAAATACCCAGGATGCTGGTTATGGAAATCTGGGAAGGATCTCTGTGCCCAGGATACCAAACAGCACAAAAGGAAAAACATTTCCCTTATGAACCAAATTATAATTTGCCTTGCATGCCAAAGAACTTCAAAGACTGCTGATCCCTACATCAACCACCATGATTTTTCAAGCGAAGCTGAAAGCTGAAATTTGGTTTGATGAGCCCCTTGCTTCTTCTTGGCTAAGAAAGAAACAAGACTGCCAACCAGGCAGGTTACACTCTGCAAATCTCCTTTCCAAAGGTTTTTCAGTAGAGCAGATTTGGGTCAGCCAAAGAAGCCTCAATTACTTGGTGAAAAGCTGAGGCACCATCTTCCTAACACAGCTACTTCCAGGCCCAGTGGCTGAGCACGAGGTCCCAGTGGCTCTCATTCCAGGTGTGGTTGCCTCCTGCGAGAAAGAAGACAGGAGGCCTGTCTGATGGAACTTGTGGGTTTCACCTGGGCAGCAGTGAGAACGACAAACAAATAGTAAAGATGTTGAAGTTTATGTGTAATGATGTAAATATTTTCATTTTTAAAATGAAAGCATTTTATTTTAAAAAATAATAAATTTTCTGTTAAGAGGACCTGGATGGAGGAAAACAAAACAAAGAATATTGCTGGTATTTGATATACTGGATCATCATCAGCACATGTCTTCCCAGGACTCTTCACCAGAAGAGAGTCACAAATACTAAAAGTGAAAGGCAAAGATATTCTATTATGTTACTATTTCCCTGTAAATAGTAACATAAAGATTTTACTAACATGTAAGACCTACTCAATTCCTACTCTTCACTTGCAGGGAAACTCCACAGCTGGCGTCTGCATACCAATGGATGTCAGTGAGGGTTCATATCCAACTGGCCCATTATCAAGTTAGGAGTCTACCATGAAAACAAGAGTGTCAGAATTCTCAGCTTCTATACTGCTTCAACCAAGACACCTAGATCTTTCCAAGCACTCGATGACTTTCTCCACAAGTGCAGGAAATTCAGATACATGCTGAATCAAGAAGAAAACTGTCTTTATTTTATTTTGTGTCCTTTATGTGTTCAACTGGCCTCCATACCATGCAACCTGGCTCCACTCATCTTTAAATCTCTCAGTCAGTTCCTTTTCTACATTTTTTTGTATTTAGAACAAGCCATGTTTTTATAATTTACCAAATCTATTTTTGACTGAATGATCATTTAAGTGGACTGAATACGAATTTCAATTTCTCACTGTTATATTTGATCTGATCCCACAGGCATAACTAGCATCTTGTGTGAGGCACTGTGCTTAAGAATGGGGGGAAAGATGCAGAGTTTGTTAAATCTTTCAGGGTTCTTCTTGTGAAATAGAATTAGTCTGCACACCTACTAACTTTAGAAAGTGGCTGGGGACCTTTGCCTATGAAAGGGACAGAATGCATTAAGCTTCCTCCTGAGAAGCCACCTGCAGAAATGGATGTTAGGGTGCGCCATTAAGCCTGCATCTATACATTTTGTGTCTTTAGTCTAACTTTTGTTAAGGCATCCTGGTTTTATTTATTTCAGAATTTGTTTCTTGAAATCACTGATTTACACTGGCATTAAAATACTTGATGATAGACTCACAATGTACCAATAGTTGCTGAAATTATCATTACGTTTTCAACTGTTGACAGTGATTAAACAATTCTGTTTTGCCACTGCACTAAATAAAAGACAAATGCAAAGTTTGATGATAATGAGATTATGGATTTTCAATCTTTAATGAGATATAAAATTTATGAATAAGATGACCTTTTAGAGGTTTATTTCATAGATGAAATTTGAGATTACTATTAAAGAAATTTTTCTTACGTTTCACTTGTGTGACGCCTTTAAAGAAATATTAGGTTAAAAATAGACTTATTAAATTCCATCAACATAAATATTACTTATTTTGAACATGATGGGATTTCAGAAATGAACCTTACACATTTATTCCAATTTCTTATGATTCTAAGATTTATGGGATTAGGCTATATTTTCTTGACTCAGATTCATTATTCAACCTGAAGCTACATTAAAAGAGAAAGAAAGAGAGAGAGAGAGAGAGAGAGAGAGTAAGGCCGGGCACAGTTGCTCACACCTGTAATTCCAATACATTGGGAGGCCGAAGCGGGTGGATTACTTGAGGTCAGGAGTTCAAGACCAGCCTGGCCAACATGGTAAAACCCCGTCTCTACCAAAAACACAAAAAAACAGCTGGGTGTGGTGGTTAGTGCCTGTAATCCCAGCTACTAGGGAGGCTGAAGCAGGAGGATCGCTTGAACCTGGGAGGCGGAGGTTGCAGTGAGCTAAGATCACACCACTACTCTCCAGCCTGGGTGACAGGGTGAGACCCTATCTCAAGGAAAAAAGAGAGAGAGAGAGACAGGACAGGCTCAGTGGCTCATGCCTGTAATCCCAGCACTTTGGGAGGCTGAGACAGGCAGGTCACCTGAGGTCAGCAGTTCAGGAGCAGCCTGGCCAACATGGTAAAACCCTGTCTCTACTAAAAATACATAAATTAGTCAGGCATGGTGGCATGTGCCTGTAATCCCAGCTACTCAGGAGGCTGAGGCAGGAGAATTGCTTGAACCAAGGGGACGGAGGTTACAATGAGCGTAGATGTTCCCATTGCACTCCAGCCTGGGTGGCAGAGTGAGACCCTATCTCAAAATAAAATACAAAAAATAAAAGAGAAAGAGAAAGAGAGTAACAAGAATAGGACAAAAGAATCTAAATTCCGTTATTAACTAGCTGCACTTAGGCAAATCACTTACTGTTTCTGCCATCTACTCCTGCTTGTGGCACATATGTAGGTAACTCATTTAAAAACAACAGGAAAAAGATAAAATTAAAGATTATCTAGGAATAATTTGCATAACATATAATGAAGACAACTCTAAACCTATATGTAAAGATGAAAAGGAGACCTGAGGGTCGGCTCTACCTTCCCTGTTCTAGTCTCCTGCTCTGCCATGGCTCCCAAAGGCAGTCCCAAACAGCAGTCGGAGGAGGACCTGCTCCTGCAGGATTTCAGCCGCAACCTCTCAGCCAAGTCGTCCGCGCTGTTCTTCAGGAACGCGTTCATCCTGTCTGCCATCCCTATCTGGTTATACTGGAGAATATGGCATATGGATCTTACTCAGTCTGCTGTTCTGTACAGTGTGATGACCCTAGTAAGCACATATTTGGTAGCCTTTGCATACAAGAATGTGAAATTTGTTCTCAAGCACAAAGTAGCACAGAAGAGGGAGGATGTTGTTTCCAAAGAAGTCAACTTTTTTTCGAAAACTTTCTGAAGCTGATAATAGAAAGATGTCTCGGAAGGAGAAAGATGGAAGAATCCTGTGGAAGAAGCATGAAGTTTCTGATTATGAAGCTACAACATTTTCCATCTTCTATAACAGCTGTTCCTGGTCTTGATCATTGTTGCTTCCTTCTTCATACTGAAGAACTTCAACCCCACAGTGAACTACATTTTGTCCATAAGTGCTTCATCAGGACTCATCGCCCTGCTGTCTACTGGCTCCAAGTAGACCATGCCTGCTTGCCCCCTGGCTTTGTGTCTATGGGTGGCCTGTGGCATATGGAAAAGTAGCAGGGTGGTCAGGGCGGGAGACACACAAGATGTTTTTACAGTCTAGAGCCTTTAAAAAACCCAACAGAATGCAATTCAGTATTTGTTTATTGGCTGTTTTTGACAGATTGTTGAAATTAAATGAATTGAAAGGGGGAAAAAAAAAGAAAAGGAGACCTGAATACCAAGACTATATATATATCTTTATTGTATATACAATGTTATACAGATATCACTTTCCTCACTCCCTGGCCATCTGAGCAGCTGCTCTTGGTTGGGACCATCCCAATCAAAGGAGTTGAAAAAGTCACTGGAGTCAATTGATTCTAGGCTCCAACTCATTATGAAAGGTGGAACGTACGTGCTGGGGTACAAGCAGATCCTGAAGATGATCAGACAAGGCAAAGCAGAATTGGTCATCCTTACTAACAACTGCCCAGCTTTTAGGAAATCCAAAATAGAGTACGATGCAATGTTGACCAAAACTGGTGTCCATCACTACAGTAGCAATAATATTGAACTAGGCACAGCATGCGGACAATACTACAGAGTGTGCACATTGGCATGAATTGATCCAGGTGATTCTGATATCATTAGAAGCATGCCAGAACAAACTTGTGGAAAGCAAACCATGCAAAATTTTCCTTTAATAATACTTGCAGAACTTTTTAAATAATACATTATAAAGATATTAATTTTATGCTGATTTATCAATTCAGTATAACCCCATCAAATACTCAGAGAAAAAAATATTTTTAGAATTAAAAGGCAAAATTGCTTCACTGCACTCCAGCCTGGGCAACAAAGCTGGAAAATAGTCGAGCCTAGATTCAAAGCTGTTTATTTGATTCCAAAATTATTTTAACTGCTGCTTTTAACAAAGCACTGCCTCCCAGTATATTTATGTTTCACATCTTTTAATACTGATGATGATAATCATTATGAGAATTATAATTGCTATAAATTATCTCTTTCCAACAATTTTTTTTCAAAATTGAGAGAAAAGCAAGCCTGCAAAACTAAAATTTGCATAGGTATTAACAAAATATTGCCCAAAGAAATTCAGATTAAATAAATTATTAACAAACTGCTGCTAACAAGATTGGTAATTAGCACTTAGGAAAAAAGAGAGAGAGAAGAAGAGAACCTGAAGAAAGCTTGTTTATCTGTCTAGATTTTCTGTGAAAAGGATGAGGGGTTTTTTTGTTTTGTTTTGTTGTTGTTGTTGTTATTTTGAAACAGAATCTGACTCTGTTGCCCAGGCTGGAGTGCAGTGACGCAATTTTGGCTCACTGCAACCTCTGCAAGCATTCTAGTGCCGCAGACCCCCAAGTATCTAGGATTCCAGGCATGCACCACCATGCCTGGCTAATTTTTGTATTTTTAGTAGAGACAAGTTTTCACCATGTTGGCCAGGCTAGTCTCAAACTCATGAGCTTAAGTGATCCACCCACCTTGGCCTCCCAAAGTACTGGGATTATAGGCATGAGCCACCACACCAGGCTGGATGAGATTTTTTTTTTAACTAATGTAAATTTTTTCAAAGTGCTGCTTACCACCTGATAAACAGCAAGGCTGGCTCTCCTAGCGAAGTGCAAATGAAATGTTCAATTACATTAAACAGCTCTGGCTCGTAAAATATTTGAGGAAAAGCATAGACTAAGTAAAGAGGCTATAAGAAATGCAAAATTTGGGGACACAGCATTCCTTAATCACATAAAAGCCTAAATGTTAATTAAAATTGACATTAATTAAGAACTATAATCCCACCTCCCTCAAGAGAAAGGTTGGCTTATTGGAAGAAAAGGACAATTTAGAATCACCAATTCTCCTACACGCAGTCTAGAGCCTTCAGTAATTCCTAGTCAGCATCTCAGGATTCCTTTGAGAATTCTTCCCAAGGTCAAAGTCAAAAAATGGGTTTATTGCAAATGCTTACATTACAAATGAGTACTTTATTGCAGCTCTGCTGTTACATGTTTTTCTTATCTTCCCTTCACTTCCAAATCTAGTCAGAGGGTTTCAACAAACCCACCTTATTTCAAGATGATAAGGTAGAAAGGAAAATCAGCCTTTATTGAGGACCTGCTAAATGATGGGACTTGGGGTCACTAAATCTCAAAACCTTCATTACAGCTTCCGCGTATTTTCATCCAAATCACAACAGAAAACCTCTTACAAAGAATACTTAAAGCAGTGGCTCATGCCTGTAATCCCAGCATGTTGGGAGGCCAAGGCTGGCAGATCACTTGAGGCCCGGAGTTTGAGACCAGCCTGGCCAACATGGTGAAAACCTGTCTCTACTAAAAAATAATACAAAATTAGCCAGGTGTAATGGTGCACACCTGTAATCTCAGCTACTCCAAGGCTGAGGCAAGAGAATCACTTGAATCTGGGAAGTGAAGGTTGCAGCAAGATCTCCCTACTGCACTCCAGCCTGAGTGACAGACCAAGTCTCTGTCTCAAAAATAAATATATATATATATATATACACACACACATATATAAATAAATATATATATTTTAAAAAAAGAACACCTAAAACAACATCACCAAACCTTATCTTTAGATATTTCTACTAAATCTTAAGAACTCTTTTCTTAAGATAGAATCTTTTATCCACATTTTACAAAGAAACTTGGCCTTAGAGAACCTAAGTCAACTGTATCAGTTCACAACATAGCCACCAATGTCTGAACCTGAAATCGAACCCATGTCCTCAAATAGAGTAGTCCTACTACACTATAGCTCCTTCACCCCAGGGTAGCAAATTCCCCAAAGACAAATACTGTGTTATCAGTGACAGCTAAAAGCACAGTGAATAAAATTATATTTTGAAAGCTGGTTGAACATGGAAATGTTTAATGCACCTGGGAGATGTTAGTATTATTAAAGAGTGATCAAAGTGGGTAAAACAGTTTCCAGTAATAAAAATGATCATATAATACAATCATAAAATATTGAAACAGTTTCTTATATGGCTTCTGGGGCCAGTCCCTAAAAGGAATGCCCCCCAAATCAATTTGAAGATTGACATGGATCTGATGAGTGTTCAGATAAAGTGATAATTACAAAGGATAGTTCCTTGTTCCCATGAGTTCTGATACAATGACAATGAGAATCAACATTCTCAACTTCATATTCTTGCTATGTTCATGCACATATATATGTACACACACTATGATAAATAATTATATATATGTATATATGTATAAAATGACATAAGCTGCATTTTAATATGTTTCATAAAATAGTCTTAAGGGACTCATTAAGAATTTAATAAGTTTTTAACAAAACATTAAATAAAAAGATATGGACCAAACAAAATAACTAGATGTTTGCCTATGGTGTCCAATAATTTTTTTTACAGTTCTCCCCCACTAAATTGAATGAATCTTTTGATTGTATTAGTAAAAAGAAGTTAAAGTGAAAATCAAATTATTTTCAAAAAGTAGCAATGATGCCTAGAATATAATAATTCTTTTTTTTTCCATTTATTTATTTTATTGCATTTTAGGTTTTGGGGTACATGTGAAGAACATGCAAGATTGTTGCATAGGTACACACGTGGCAGT